GTCCCAAAAGATCAAACATATAACCCGTAAATGGCTGGTCCCAATAAACAAGTTCAAGAGGTTAGGAATAGAACTCTACATGAGGAATCATTCAGTTGATCAACTATGATTGGAGTAGCGAAGTGTGGTAGATCCAGTTGCCACGACTGACATCGCAAGAATAACAAGAAATAACAACGGCAAAGTAGTGGAGCGAAATGCAAATAGAATATAAGGGAAGTGAAAGCGAGAAGGAAGTGCGTTAAACTAAGCCAAATTGAACAAAAATTATAAATATAGGGAAGAAACTGATTGCAGGAACGCCACTGACTGCGTGACTGCACTACGTCTAATACGGTCTCCAACCATTGGTGTGGACCATCCCGAGGACCCATGCAGGAATACGGCACGCACGCACCTGACCAAATCTCTCAGTCAATTTCTTCATGTCACTATGTCACGTCATGAAATGGACACCTCGCGGTTTCATCCAACTTGGTGCAGCCACTGCGTATAATGCACGCCAAGGAAGCCGGGCATAAGGAAAACTTGGCATAACCAACGTAAGCGATTAAGATTCAGCAACCACTCGAGAGGGCACTAGAAGGCCTCTTGCCAAAACCAACTGGCGGACTTCAGCATTGTCTACCCGGTGTTCCCACCAGACGTGAGCAATACTCCGCAAGCACCGGCGATCAAACAGGGCTAAGCGTCCAATGTCTTCGCCGCGAACTGACCAGGTCCCTGATCCATACAGTAAGATCGACCTGACCGCAGCGTTATACACTATACTCTTCAATGATAGATTGATATCCCGCAGTCTCCATGGTTGGTTGAGTCGCTGGAAAGCCCCACGAGCCTTGCTGATACACGTAATAACTTCCTCAGTGGTGTGACTACCAGAGATGACACAGCTGTCAAGGTAAGTGAACCGACCCACCAGATCCATTGGCTGTTCGGAAACAGCTAAAACTGGTGGTGTATCGGTCCAGTCTTGTAACAGTACTTTGCACTTTGAAGGTGTAAAGCACATGTCGAAGCGTGCGGCGCTATGCGTCAGTCTATCCAGCAATCTCTGCATAGCCATTGGATCGGACGCAAGGTTTGTCAGTCGGTCACCTCGCAGAACTTCTACTCGGGGAGTCTGAAAGAACAGACACTCATGATCATTTCCATGACGAAGTTGAAGAGGAAAGGAAATATAAGACAACCCTGGCGAACCCACTTGTCGTGGGGAAGTCAAGAAGAAGAAAGGAATGGAAAGGAATTTAGCCAGTACGCCCTTCATGGATTAGCAGTGCCACAAGGTGGCGCGGTCAACAGAGTCGAAGGCGGCTTTCATGTTAATGAAAACCACCATGGTCGGTCGTCTGTATGTGTCACTGCTCTAAAATTTGGCGAAGAATAAAAATGTGTTCGATACAACTACGGCCAGGGCGTAAGCCAGTCTGGCTTTCAGTGAATCGGTCCTCATGGGGACCAACAAGTCCTCGGGGAATGATACCCGTGAAGAGTTTGAATGCAATGAAAACAAGACTGATGTTTCGATGATTCTCGCACAAAGTACGCTGACCCTTCTTGAAAATAGGGAAAACTGTTGACAGTTGCAAGTCTGAAGGCAGTTTTTGAGTGTCCCAAATCGTGTTAAAAAGAGAACCAAGTGCAGTCAACAAAAAGTCACCGGCATCTTCAGCAAAGATGGAAGAAGGTCATCTGGTCCCGGAGCCATGTTACGTTTCAACACGGAGAGCTTAAATCAAATCTCTTCCAAAGTAGATATGTCATCTACTTCCCACGACTTTCCAGACAATTCGGCAATGTCGCAGCATGCCTGCTGAACTGTTCTTCAAAACGTTTCGTCCAACAAGCTAGTCGACGACGCTGAGGATGGATCAGCTGCTCGTCCTTCTCAGCTATTATCTCGCTAACGGATGGCTTCCTAGGACCCGTGTTCCAGATGAGTTGGAATAGCAATCGGCCATTTCTAATAGCGAAAGCTTTCTCCATTTTACGGGCATTCGCTATCCGCCAACGTTCCCGGTCGATTCGAAGACTCCTTGCGACGCGTCGTTTCAAAAAGTAACGCACGTGCTGAAACTAAGTACCAATTGGAACTTGTTTCCGTGCTTCGAGCAAGCTGACCGATGCCTCAGAAATGCAATCGCAGTTCCGACGTCTCAAGTCGGGTGCACAGCATGCGTCCAAGGCATTCTACATGGCACATTTGAGACGATCCCAATCCGCGTTCGGCTCACCAACTTCATTCAGCACTGACAATTGGTGGGAAAGTTCGTAATGATACTGTTAAACTGCAGATTGCGAATTCGTTACAGGTAAGAAGGTTAGAAGATAGGCGCTTCTTTGAAGCCGGAAATGTGAGTGTCAAGCGTACGCGCACTAGAGCACGGCCGGAATACAGGCATGTGCTCCAAACTGACCGACAGTCTTGGGCTGATGTGCGCCATCTGTAGCTGCTAGCAATATGGTCAAATTGTGTCCAGGTCATTGAGCGACTCAGTGGGCGCCCAGTGACGTAGTGTGAACGTTAGTGCTGGGATACAGCGCTGCTAAGGTAAAGGTAATGATCGGCGAACAGTTGCAGGATGCAAATATCATTGTCTATTCGGTCTGGATCGACTCCGAAGCGCACTCCCAGGTGTTATTCAGAGTCTGAAAGACAACCCACTTGGGCATTCAAGTTACCAGCAACAATCAGGATAACAGTATTCTGCGCTATGCGAATAAGAAATGAGATTGGTCGATATATTTCATCTCTGAACTGCATACAGTAGGAGCATAAACTATGGCAATAAAAAGTCATCTTGGCTTCAGACGCTGCTTATTAACTCCAATAGAGGTTCGAAGTCGAATAGCGCAAATGCGGATTTTCACCAATATCCAGTCGAGCAGATTGTCTTCGGCATATTTGCTGAGAGCAATTACCAACAGCGCAAATACCTTAAGCCATTAACTCGGTATCGCCAGCGACGCGAAGAATGCAGCAATCGCCGCCAGATTCAGAACCAAGGAGTCGAAAATTCGTCAAAATGCTGTTATAGTGTATGCGAGTTTCGGGGACACAACACACATTAATACCAAGAGAGTGAAGTGAGAGTTAGTGATGCCTGCTGGCCGATCTGACCTAGAGTGCGGAGGTTAAAGGAACCAAGGGGAAATGAAATTCTAGATTTGATGGAAGAGCTACATGTATCGGTGGCAGCGGCTGCGAGGTCAGTGGAAGTCTCTCGCTCAATAGACGTGAAAGAGGAAAGGAGAAAAAAAGGAGAGAGGGCATTGTCGACGTTGTCGAGAGGACGGATGATACTCACTGGTTGCCCATTCCGAGGTTTTGATCGAGGTGCCCTACCTCTAGCCTTTGACACAACAATCAGACCCAGAAGGCAGTGGGGTACATGGAGATTCGCCTGGAGGATACCACTGGGAGCTTTTGGCTCAATAGCCTGACCTACAAGGCAGTGGGGGGCAAGTCGAGCCCGATAGTGTGATTGCAGAGACCGGTCGGAATCGGCTCGAGGCCAGTCACATAAAACATTTGAAGATTTAGAACAATTCACATATGTTTTACGACCGTATGATGTTACGCACTTGCGACCACGGCCAGCCGAGGGTGGAAGTTGACTGTCCACGTGTTACGCATGCCAGCCCACCGACTTCCGCGACGTGTGTTGTTTGCGCGCCGGGAGTGTGGATGGAAGAAGAGGAGGGGTGGCCAAGCGATGACTTGGTCCAGAGGAATGAAGACCCTCACTTCGAAGCTGGCCTCGGTTGGAGCGTCTCGGCTCCCTGGTTGGGGTCCGAAAGACGATGAACACGTTTGGTTGGACACACTTGCTGATATGGCTAGGAGCCGACCTCAGCGGCGTTCGTGCTGTGAGTTTCTTTGTCCCACCCCATCCCTCTTAGCCTCCCCCTCCAACCACGATCTCATTACTTAGCCTTATATAATTTTGCATAATAATTTTTTTTGGGTGCACAGCAGCCGGCTGGTAGCTTACCGGAACGATGCCCATCCGTTACCGGTAGCTCAGCCAGCTTTCACCAGTTGTTTTTTTTCTCTCTCCTTTTTTCTTTGTATTGCGGCACAGTAGCTGAGGTGTTTCCCACCTCTAGCTAACGTGTATGATGATGATGATGGAAGTTGACTGTCTTGCACCAATTCGACGAGGTGTTGCCTGGTTTGAAGCGGGCAGTAGCAAAACATTGAGCATCGGAAGATGCTCTCTTACCGTCAGAGACAATGTGTGGTGCTCGTGCTCTACCCAATAGAGCTTAGAATCCGTAGACCTGTTGTCTGCTATGAATTGGTTTTAAAGGAAGAGGGCCATCGACCTCTCCCTAATTTGAGGAGATGATGGGATTATGAGACTGAGTTTGACCCTAGCCACTGACCCCGCCAGGTGTGAGTGGTTCTGTAGGCAGTTGGAAAGTGCCATCCAGCATGGATCAATGGGTCGCAAAAGTACGCAAACCATCGCACCACGCTAATGTCCAGTCTCGTTGTGATGAGAAAGAAGTATGTTGAGACTGGGTTAGCTTATGTGACTATTACCCAGCCGGTTATGAGTGGATCTGTGCGTACTTGGAAGGGCCTACTTAGCGTACCAAAATAGATCGCTCGGCAAATAGTCTTTGGTAATATAGTAACTTACAAGATAATAGAGATACAATGCTTCTGTCGAAAATCACAAGGTTGAAATAGCAAAGTAGGTTTAGCGGGAAGCAACGTTTAATATGTCGGATCGGGATTCCGAGTCTGTGTTAGGTAAAAGCTTCTTGGATACAGATGAAAATGGACGTGGATGACTGTCTAAAGCATTGAAAGAATAGAACATACATAGGTATGTAAATACTGAAAACATGAGACAACGTTAATAGACAGAAGATGAGTGATCCTGAACAAAATGGGACCACACGATGCCAAACAAGGTATAATAGATATATACTAAATGTTGAGGGACACAACAATAATAGGAGGATAAAGATCAAAACGAAGGACTCACCTTGTCTAGATCTGGATGCACTAGAGCCACATAGTCGTTACAAACGATAGTATTACCAAGTGCTGATAACCGTTCTTCAAGCCGCACCACTTTAACTTTATCCGGAAGAGAATTTGTCAAATGCAAAAGTTCTTGATCTGTGGCCGTATGCGGCACCAAAAGGCCATGTGTATTGCCTATACATAGAAAGCAGCAAGTGGGTCTCAATGGAAACTCATTTCACGTAGGTTGAATAAGTAAAGGAGCAAACAGACAGATGGCAACGAACGGAAAATAATACGTAACCGTCCTCATAGGTGCTTGCGAATGTGGTGATTAGCTAATCCGAGTAGTGGCCTAACCAGCTAGGAATCGGATCCCGGTGACCGATAGTTCACGGTACCTACCCAGGCCAATGCGAAGTAATAGCATTCGGCAGTTATGTCGCAGTAGGCTCTATTCGCAGAGCAAATATGATGTTGCCGCAGATCCAACTTAATTAATCTGTAGCGCCATGGTGTAACAAAGATGTTCTCCTCCGTCAACCATTTGAAAACGTTACGCATTACTACCTTAAATCTGGGCCTCATCGAATACGGTCGTAAAGTCAGGAACACCCACAAAGGAATGAGGAATAAATGTCTTGGAAAATAGCGAAAACATCGTGCTGGCTGTGTCCGATGTCGGACACATCGGACACAAGCTCAGGTCCGCTCTAACGCGCACGTACACGACTGCACAGTTGCGTCTCATGCACACGACTCGAAAACTTGTTCTTCATGACCGTCAGAGCTACTCTTCGGCTAGTTCGCCCTCACATGTGGTCTATCAGTTCACCAGCAGTTGCAGTGACGTTTACATAGGCAAGACTAACCGTCGGTTGGCTGAACACTTGTCAAAGTGGGTAGAGCAAATGATGACGCAACAAAATGGAGCGCCCCCCAGAATGTAATGTAATCGCAACAGTCTATCAGCTAGACACGGAGCCAAAATATAACCAGAATGAACCGGATTCTGTCATCATCTATCACTAAGCACCTCGTGACAACTGGTCACAACGTGGACCCCAAGACTGCGTTCAAAGTGCTATTACGTAACCGGAATCCGACAATGTTGGAAATCAGTGAAGCGTTGCTAATCAGGGCTTATCAACCAGTGCTATGTGCACAGAAACTCTTGACGCAATCAATCCGATTGCCTTGGACTTGATTCTGACGTTTGGATTGGTTTGCCAATTTTTTGCGATGTATATAATTGCGTGTGTGTTTCTGCTTGTATTGTGTATGCGACTGACGAGAACAATCGAAATGTTAGCATATCGCAATCTGTGCCTTCTTTCTGCTTTGGTCAAGTGGCTGAAGGGGACCAAATGTTTTACGCTATTTTGTCGACAAAACGCAAGTCCCATTGATACTTTCCAGTAATATGAGTTCGCTTCTTGGCAAAATCAGTGATCTCAATGTCATTATGCAGCGAAATGAGTACGTTGATACAGGAATCATTGTTACAAAAAAGTTGGTTACATACTGACGTGGAAAATGGGGCTATCCAACTTGATGGTTAGTTTCCCATCAAGTCTGACCGCCCTGGAACCGTAAAACTCACATACTCAACGATTTCTTGAAACGGACATTTAGTTGAATACAAATTGAAGTTTTAAGTGGGTTTCAATTAGTCACCGTTGGAAACATATACACTGCTCTTGACACACCTGTGTCAGGGTTAAAACTTTTCGAATACCAAGTTTCTTCAATGTTACTGCTTAAATTAGATTGATATATCTGTATTGTTGCTGGCGACTTCAATAGAAATGATACAACATTCCTGAAGACACTTGGTTTGGTAGACCTAGTGACTGTTTCGACTAGATAAGATGCCCAGTTGGACGCTGTGCACACAAATAGAAGACAGTTGTTTTCCATACAAAAACGGGCTCCGTCGAGCAGCTCAGACCATGGCACTTTAAAAAGGTGTCCAGTCATATACAGCAGATCTAATACTTTCACGCTAACCAGACGTCCTTACAAGATTAGCAAACGGCGAAATTGCTCCTCTGAGAACATCACGAGCCTCCAGACGATGTTTTCCTTAGGATATTTCGGTGTTCAAGGATAAGGACCTGTCGCTACAATGTGGCCATCTTACGGACTACATCAAATATTGCTCTGACATGTGTTGCCCTGCTGAAACGATCTACCTAAGGGCGGATATATTTAATCAGCACTACCAAAGCGACTTCGAAGGATGAAAAATGAGCTTACAAGTGCAAGAATGCTACCCGTGTCAAAAGCCTAACCACAGCAATTAAATCCGAGATAAAAAGGCCAAACCACTTATATGTTGAAGCAGTTCTAGGCATACATAGCTGTCGTGATCTATGGAGGCTTTTGAAATAGCTTGGTGGTAAGAGCGTCTGCAGTCAGAACGGTGAAGTGGTTGTGAAAAAACTGAATTCAGTTCCGCCTCAGTAAGCGCATCTTCCTTGTCCTCTCTCATTAGCTCAAGTCCAGCTGCGCTTTTTGATCAAAGCAACGTTCACAAGCAACTCAAAAGAGTAAAGGCGAACAAAGCTTGTGGTCCGGATGCCCTCTCACCACTAGCTTTGAAAGTGTGCTGATTTTCTCACACTTCCGTTAACAGATCTCCTTAATAAATGCCTCACTATGTGTGTGATCCCGGACATTTGGAGATCGGTCAGTATAACCCCAGTACAAAATATGGATCCCAAAAGTATTGCCGGATTGCGTGCGCACTTGTGCTTCTAAAAGATTTCGAAAAAACTGTTACTTCCGCGGATTTGTGTAGCCGCTCCTCAGGACGATATCTACCAGTTTGCGTATAGACTCCAGCGCAATACATTGGATAGTGGTACATGTTGTTCATTCCATAGCGCCGGCATTAGATCAAAAATGTAAATCGGTACCCCTTCTCGTCCTGGATTATTCAAATGTCTTTGGAAATCTGAGTATGGCAATGTTGCTAAACCTGCTATCCGAAAATGGAGTGCGTAAGCTGTTACGTGATTAGTTTACCGATCGTACCCAGTACACCAAGTTGGACGGTAAGAAATCCGCTGTCTTCCGTGCCAACTGTGGTGTTCTGCAGGGAGCGATCCTACCAATTTTTCTAGTTTCTTTGTATGTTGGGCGTATAGCTATACAAACCACGTGTATAGGGTGCAAATATACTGACGATGTATGGTCGCCACTAACCAGGATTCATCATCACTTCATACAGATCTCTTACGCTTAATGCTTCTAAATACAGTGATGAGATAATTTTTCTTCGTGGCGATAAGTTGCGTTCCATTACTGTGAATGAAAATCCAATACTTAGCTCTTTCACAGTCAAGTAGCTCAGTGTCTTTCTGTCCCAGAACCTTTCTTGGTCCACGCATGTCTGTAAAACTCTACTGAAAGTCAGAAAACGATGTTTTTATGCCCTGAGACTTGAGGTGCTTTCATACCGCGCACTTTAAAATGCCCCACTGGTTATACTACTCACCTGTCATACTCCCTAGACTGCTTCAGAAAGACTACATCTTATTGGTACGATTTATGAAACACATTACTAGATGCAGCGGCTTTTCGAGAGATACTTTAGTTGATCTGGTCATTCCTAGAAACCATGATGACTGCAGTGATTTTTCTTTTAAGGTATTAACTGATCTTTCCAACACGCTTTTTTCGCTCCTGCTCTTTCGTAATTCAAATGTTATTCTCCCGTACGTCTTTGTATCGTAATAATGTTTTGCATAATTTCACACGTTTGCTTGTTGACCCAGCAAAAGTGACTAACATGCTGCGCCAGCGGTTTTTCGAGTAACTGTTGTGCATATTTCCCATTTTTCTCCCCAAGCATGTATTTCGACATTATCATCCAGATGTCTGCAGTGGTGTAAATGCCGAAAATAAACCTATTAGGGTTTATAAAGCTTATGAAGACTTGAAATGTATCATTGCCATATTCCGAACGTAAGCTCTCCTTGAACATCGAGGCAACAACGGAGCAGCTATGAACGGTCAAGACATCATATCATCATCATACTACACGTTAGCCAGAGGTGGGGAACACCTCAGCTACTGTGCCGCAATACAGAGAAAAAAAGCAACTGGTGCAAGCTGGCTGAGCTATCGGTAAGGGATGGACATCGTTCCGGTAAGCTACCAGCCGGCTGCTGTGGACCCAAAAAAATTACTATGCAAAATAATATAAGGCTTAATAATAAAATCGTGGTTGGAGGGGGAGGCTAAGAGGGATGGGGTGGGACAAAGAAACTCACAGCACGAACGCCAATGAGGTCGGCTCCTAGCCATATCAGCAAGTGTGTCCAACCAAACGTGTTCATCGTCTTTCGGACCCCAACCAGGGAGCCGAGACGCTCCAACTGAGGCCAGCTTCGAAATGAGGGCCTTCATTCCTCTCGGCCAAGTCATCGCTTGGCCACCCCTCCTCTTTTTCCATCCACACCCCCGGCGAGCAAACAACACACGTCGCGGGAGTTGGTGGGCTGGCATGCGTAACACATGGCCAAGCCATCGGAGCCTGATGCGTGAAATAACTGTGCTGAGCGGTTCAGTTCCTTTTCCTGTGCCATAAACGAGGCGTCGAACACGCTCGTTGCTCACGCGGTGTTCCCACCAGATGTGAGCTAAGTTACGAAGGCACCGGTGGTCGAACGTAACTAGCCTCTTCAGGTCCGCTGCTTTAAGCGGCCAGGTTAACGGTCAACACAGTTTCCTGCTACCGTAGTTTCAGTAATACATCGAGTAATTCGTATACAATACCCCTTCCCCCCGCGTCTGAGGAGGGATGGAAGAAGTTCATTGTTCAAATTCAACTGTCTGATCTTGCGTTCGACATCTGCGAGAGAGGGTGGATCCAAATGGATGGCACATGGAGCAGAGCGATCACTGGCCGGGATTGAATCTGGTAGTTCCTGCCGATTAAATTGTTTTTTAGAGTGCTCAGCCCAACGCTCCAAGAGTTTTGACAGGTTGCGAATAGGCTTTTCACCCTCGTCTCATAGAATATGGCTAACAACAGGGATCCTGGTGCCTGTTTCCCGTTCCAAACGGCATAAGTTTCGATGGTTCCCAAGAGAGACGGCCACCAGTTCTCACAATCTCTATACATACTAGCACGCAGTTTTGTTTTGATGCCTTTGCTAGTTTCGTTGTGCTGGCTCCAAGCCGGAATGCGACCGAGAGCATCCAGAAGTTCCAGAGACTGCACAATGCTGGCAAGCAAATTTGTTACACAAAGACATACTTGCTGCTAAAAGAGTCTGCTGACCATGTAACCAGTGACCGAATATGTTCCGTTGGCGCCTATTCAGAGCAGATGCCAGTGTACTTCGACAAGCAGTCAGAACATCCAACTTTGTCAGGTGGGGAGTGTGTGTGTAGTGCACCTGAAAACACAATCTTCCA